TGGGCAAGACACTTAACCCACCTCACCCCCCCAGTTTCTGCGTACACTGATGTGTGCAAGGGTGAGTGGTTCCTTGTTCTAAAGCACTTTGAGTAGCCTGATTCATCAGCCGGTTTCACTTAGTAGAAACCGTGTGACCTTGCAGCATTGGAATTCGTTCACGCTACAGTAGGCAGGTACTTTTTTTTTTTTTTAAAATTTCACGCTTTTATTTAATCGCTGATATTTGGTCGTGACGTATATGTAATGCGCCGCTAACTGGTATATTAAGCTTTTCCCAAATCCCGTAGGAAGAAGGACAATAACGTCTTTCCCCTTGATAAAATTCACCAAACATTCTCTTTGTTCCGACTTTAAATCCTCGATCTCGGGAATCGTTGCCAACACAGAATGTTTGACTCTTCGCTGATTGGCTGGTGCCCGAACTTGCACTTTCAGGGTTTTTTACAAATCTAGTGTATTCCGATTCCTGACCTAGTCGCTGGAGAGAAATGAAATTGAGCGGAGACACAAGGTGGCGCCAGCGTGACTACACTTTGAGTGCCTCGAAGGTGGAAAAGCGCTATAGAAAAACTTGACCATTTATGCAAATTAGCCATGTGGTTTTAAGTTTAGTTTCTGCAAAGCTGCATTAAACACATTATTACTCAGTGTATATTTGAGTCGTCCTCGTAGGAAATAAAAAAATAAACTTAAATGATCCGCATTCACCAAGACAGGGAGGCGACGCCGGGCGAATTACGCCACGATCTTCCGACGGATCGTGGACGCCTGGACTAAAAGGATCAGTCTCAAGTGTCGTCCGTTTGTTTCACTTAATGCTCCTTATAATCCGATGCAACTTTATGTATGAAAATAGACGAGAGAATTCAACATTATTGATATTGCGCCTTATAATCCGAAAAATACGGTCGTTTCAGTTTCGTTTTTTGCCTCCTCTCCGTTTGCTCTCAGCGCTAAGTCACTCCCCTTCAGAGCACCATCGCAACACAATCACCTAACGAATCGCATCAGGTTTGCTGCAGTTTTGCGTCACGTTTTCGTATATTTATGAAGAATTTGGGACATTTTCGAGCATGTTTTTAATCAAGGAACGTCATAACACGGCAGAAAGCTAAAAAAACAACAACATAATAACATAAAACGTCCTCTTTTTGAACCAATTCATCGCAAATCAACCAGTTTTGCTTTAAGTTTTTCGCGCCGTTTCGATCATTTCAAACCAAACCGTAACTTTTGGTGGAATCTTTGCTTTCGTGAACCACTTTAAAAAACGTCAAATGGCACTTTTTGTGAAGAAGGAGAAACAAGGACTGAGACTCTACGGCAAAAACAATACAAGAAAAACAAAATAAAACAAAATAAAATAAAGGACATTCAACTTAAGACAAGAGGCTTTTGGCAACATCAGTACATGAGGAGAATTAAGGAGATTTCAAACAGTTCATTATTATTTTTGTTCTACGTTATTGCCAAAGATTTTTTTGACATCTGAAAATACAACGGCAGGAAAAGTAAGAGAACCCCAAATTTAAAGCCACTACGGAACATTTTTGTTAAAGGGCCTGTGTTTTACGCTTTTTTCTGATCAATGTTAAAGTTTTTTCATCGCAAACAGACCTGGAGTTGTTTTAAAAAAAAATTTGATTCTGCACATTTAGGCTGAGTTCTTCTCTCAAACACGCCGTTCCACCTCATGATGTCATTGCGTGGCGATGGCAGGAAGTGCTCCACTGTGTTTTTAAACTCCATACACCTTCACCAGAATAATTTACGCAATTTCAGCGCTGGAATTGACAAACTTTGAAGCTACATTTATTGTTTTGCGTCATTGAAACGTCTCTGAAACTAAAATATTGTTCATAAAAGCAACGACTTGTGAAATCTGTGAAAAATTTCAAAACTTTTCCATGACTTTTCCATGATCTAAAGTGAACGATGAAGACAGAAAGGTGAACGGGACCATCGTTTTGATCACAGAAAATCCTGAAAATGTGCAGTTTAAATTCCATTTCCAATTCCATTTTTCAAAACTAAAGTGTTACAATCGCAAGTGACCAGGGTTCCCACGCTTTTTCACAAAATTCCAAAGCTTTTCCAGGACTTTTCCATGATCTAAAGTGAACGATGAAGACAGAAAGGTGAACGGGACCATCGTTTTGATCACAGGCTCCTGAAAATGTGCAGTTTAATTCGAATTTCTTGAGTTTTCCGACAAGTGACCACGGTTCCCAAGCTTTTTCACAGAATTTCAAAACTTTTCCAAGACCTAAAGTGAATTTTCCATGACTTTATGGCACCTACATGTGAAGAATTGATCAAACTTAGGACTAAATATGAAGTGTGAACCCTTTCCACTCACCTTATGGTTTTGAATTATATAGTTTTTTTTAAACTATAACTGTGTAAATTTACTATTTTTAAAGGTACATTGTGTAACTTTTCTGGGCCGTTTCCTGTTTCTGTGACTTAAACTGCAATGCCGGACTTTTGCGCCGCATACGGACTGAACCAGGACTAAACCAGGACTAAAACAGGTCCGGGACCAGACCGGAACCAGACCAAGACTGAGATCACGACTTAGACCGGGACCAGACCAGGACTGAGACCAGAAATTAGACCACGTGAGTTGTGTGGTCCTCTGCGTTTTTGATTTATTTTTATTTATTTTTAATGTATTCATTGGCTTTATTTTTATTGCTATTCTATGATTTTGCTCTTATTTAATTTATTTATTTATTTTTTTTTATTTTAAGACTTATCATTTTATTTTATCATTTTATTATTATTGTTATTATTTGTTATAGAAATAAAGCGGATTAAATTGGATAATAGCCGAATGAGAACGTGAAAGAGATACTAAAATTCCATCACTTTTCCAAAACTTTCATCGAATTAACTTTTAATTTTATGACTTTTCCAGGATTTCCATGACCGTGGGAGCCCTGTGCGTAGGTTAAATCAGTTTAAAGGTACCACTTGATGACATCACAAGGTGCACTAACAAGAAAGCGTCACTCAAACATGAACGTGAATGAAACAAAACTCAACTCCAGGTCTGTTTTTGACGAGGAAACGACATCATAACACGACTTAAAGCTCACAAGAGTCGATTTCACGTAACACAGGACTTTTAAAACCTTTATATTTGAAAGAAACTATAAAAAAAATCAATTTAATTTTGTCAAAACAGAAGCTTTACAGAGATTGCGACATAGTGACTACATACGGCTAAGCTCTTTACAGGCAAGTTTTGGTTAAAATAAGTTCCACATTTTAAATAATTTCATCCAAAATACTAAATTCTACTGGACTGACTGTTTTAATGGAATTAGTTTTGTTTTTCACATTTTTAAGATGTTAAAAATCATGTACAGCGCCTTTAAGTAGAGAAATTTAACACTAGAGAAGGAGGAAACAAACTAGATTACAACGTAAAAGGAATTGATTTGTGGTTTTTGGACGTTTTGGTGACATCTAGTGGTAGTTTTAGAACATTTAATCAATAATTAAAGCCGTACTTATACACCAAAACGCCCAAAAAACACAAATCAATTCCTTATAGGTTGTAATAAGTGGGTTTCCTCCTTCTCTAGTGTTAAATCACTAAACTTAAACACGCTGTACCTGAATTTTACCGTCTTAAAAACGTGAAAAAACAAAACTAGTTCCTTTAAAACCGTTTGCAGTGGTCCAGAGTTATTCCTCGCTTACTTTATTACTTTATTAGAGCATCACCAAACTAATTTCACAACTTTCAGAGCCTAAAGTGGAGTTTTGATGCGACTATAATGTTAACAACTAGCATGCTAACAGCGCACCAGCATTAGTTCGTGGTTTGTGCGTTATAAAAAGCTTAACTAGATGAGAAAATAAATAAATAAATCAGGTATTGCACCTTTAATATATTTTCCCAAGTGAATTCTTAAAGTTGCACTGTGTAACTTTTCTGTTGGAGGGTCCACCATCTGCTTGTCTCCATGGAGATTGTGAATATTGTCTGGAATGTTCCACAGTATGGCATTACACATATTTAAAGTTAAGGTTAAGGCCGTGCGATTAATCAAATTTTGATCACGATTTCGATTTTGTGAGTGAAACGATGATCTCGAAACTCACACAATCGAGCTGAAACGATTTAAAGCTCAACAAAGTTTATTTTGAGTATATTTTAGGTATATTTATTTAATTTTTTTTTAAACTAGAGATTGTAGAACAGCTGGATATATAGTTTATTTTGGATACATTTATGTGTCAAACTCAAATTCACAGAGGACAAAATTAAAAACTGGGACTAAGTCGTGGGCCAAACTAAATATTTACTGAAAAATTTAAACAACATCTGCATGTTTTCTCTTCTTTCGAGATATGCAATGTTAAATTTTTTCTTACTAATATATTTTTTTAATAATAACTTTGTTTAAACATTGAATCCAGTACAAGAAAAATCTAAAATAATAACAAAATTTTAATTAAATAAAGTCTCTATAGTCTATCTGTAGCCAGCAGGGAGCTCTAATAAATATTTGATATGATCTCGCGGGCCAAATATAATTATATCGGCGGCCAAATCTGGCCCCCGGGCCTGAGGTTGACATGTCTGTTCTAAGCCTTATTTCATGTTCAACGTTTATTTCTGTATTCATTTTATGTTTTATACATCGCAAAACTGCTCTAAGTTACAGATTTGTAGCTGGAATTTATTTTTAATTTGAAAATTTTGCGTAAATTATCAATAACAAAGTGTTTTTTGAGAGAGAAATGCTGAATAAATGCATCGTGTAACTAAAAAATAACAGCTTCGATAATCGTGATTTCAATATTGACCAAAATAATTGTGATAATAATTATTTTTTTCCATAATCCATAATCTCTACAGCAGGTTACACGTCAGATCTGTGGAGCGGCGAGCCCACTCACAGTAAGAATGCGAGTTTTTAGACCAATAAAAACCCGTGTTATTGAGTATGTTTAAAGCCATATCGGGGACATTCCAAAACGATAACATCTCCCTGTAGAAAAGTAGTTGGTAAAGCTTCCACCAGAAAAGTTACACAATACACCTTTAAAACTTTGAGAAACACCGGAAAACTTGCTGTGGTATGTAGCCAGTATGAAGCATCTATGTCACCTTCGTAATCTCGCATTTTGTTTAGAGTAAAATAGAAACCAAAACCAAAAAAAAAAATACCTAAGTCGGGTAATGATGCATACAACATACACAATATAAATTAGTCAAATACATTTTCCGTAATCCTCCATGACGCGTTTCCATGGAGACTTGTACTTGTGTCGGTTCATGCAGAGAGGAGACGGTGGTGGTGGTCGTGTTTTCTTTCGCGGGAGGTAAAAGTTAGTGTTTTGTTTTTGTTTTATCGTTTCGTGTTTTCTCGGGGGCTACGCGGTCGTCTCGTCGCGGTCCTCGTCCTCCTCTCTCAGGTAGCCGCCGCCGCCGCCGCCGCCGCCGCCGTACTTGTATCGGGAGTAAAACGAGCCGGTCTCTTTCTCCTCTTCTTCCTCGTCGTCGGAGCGGTCGAAGAGGAAACGTCGTCCGCTGGTTGGGCTGGAAAAAAAAAAAACGTAAAAGAAAGTGTTAAAATGCGATATGTTTGGAATAAATTAATCAACTTTGTGGTAAAGAATCTGACATTTTTGGTCATGAAAAGCAAAAGTTTTACTGAATTTATTGTGTATTTTAACAAAAGTTTGGGTCAAAAAGTGTAAATTTGCTATTTTTAAAGGTACATTGTGTAACTTTTCTGGGCCGTTTCCCGTTTCTGTGACTTAAACTGCGATGCCGGACTTTTGCGCCGCATACGGACTTAACCAGGACTGAACCAGGACTAAAACAGGTAGGGGACCGGATTCAGACAAAGACTGAGTACAGAACTTAGACCAAGACCAGACCAGGACTGAGACCAGGAGTGAGGCCGAAACCAGACCGAGACCAGACCGAGACCAGACCGGGACGAGACCAGGACCAGACTGGGACTGAGGCCGAGACCAGACCAGGACCAGACAGTGATTGAGACCGGGACTGAGACCGGGACTGAGATCAGGAGAGAGACCGGGACTGAGACCAAGACCAGACCGGGACTGAGGTCGGAACCAGACCAGGACCAGACCGTGATTGAGACCGGGACTGAGACCAGGACCAGACCGAGACCGGACGAAGATCAGACCGGGACCAGACGAGGAGCAGACTGGGACTGAGACCAGGACCAGGTTGAGACTGAGACCGGGACTGAGACCGGGACCAGACTGGGACTGAGACTGGAACTGAGGTCGGAACCAGACCAGGACCAGACCGTGATTGAGACCGGGACTGAGACCAGGACCAGACTGAGACCAGACGAGGACCAGACTGGGACTGAGACTAGGAACCAGACTGGGACTGAGACCGGGACTGAGACTAGGACCAGACCGGGACTGAGACCGGGACTGAGACCGGGACTGAGACCGGAACCAGACCAGGACCAGACCGAGACCAGACCTGGACTGAGACCAGAACTGAGACTGGGACCAGACCAGGACCAGACCGGGACTGAGACCGGAACCAGACCAGGACCAGACCGAGACCAGACCGGGACTGAGACCGGGACTGAGACCGGAACCAGACCGAGACCAGGACCAGACCGAGACCAGACCGGGACTGAGACCAGAACTGAGACCGGAACCAGACCAGAACCAGACCGAGACCAGACCGGGACTGAGACCAGAACTGAGACTGGGACCAGACCAGGACTGAAAACGGTTTAGTCCTGTTTTAGTCCTGGTTCAGTCCAGCATCGTCGTTTAAGTCACAGAAACGAGATCCGAAAAAAAAATTATCATTTACCGTTTTTCCATTTTGATTTTGATCATGAAGAAATGTGTAAATAATAATCCATAAAAAACAAACACAAAACCTGGTGCTGAGAAATTAAAACTACATGCAACTAATCTCCTTCATGCCGTCACTGCAAATCTGTAATAGATACATGTAGGACGAGCTGATGAAGTGGTTTAATTCATGCTTTTGTCAATCTAAACATTTAATTGTCAGTATAAAAATGTTTTGAGAGTAAATAAAACTTGTTATAAAATCATCTGTAAAACAACTTTTGAGATATTAAGAAACACACATTGTTAAAGTCATGCAAAATTCCACGACACGCGCATTAATGTTGTGACCAGTTGCTGCAAAATTGTCGAAAATTCTTCTTCGTCGGGTTAGGACCACACCATGCTTTGCTCCACAGCGCCACCTACTGCTTCAGTCGCTGTCCGGCCTGTACAGATACTTCATCACGAGACTGTCCACTTTCTTCTTCCTCTTCTTCGCGTCCTTTTTGTTCAGCGGAGGTGGCGATTCGTTCCCCTCCCGTCCTCCTCCGCCTCTCTCGTCTTCCGGACTTGCCGATTTCCGATTCGGCGCTTTCTTGACGCTGCTCGCGCTCCTGTACGAGATCGTGGAAGCGCCCGAACTGGAATCGGAATCGGACTCGGAATCGGAAGAGCTGGACGAGGACGACGACGAAGAAGACGACGACTCGCGTTTCTTGGACTTCTTCTTGGATTTCTTGGATCGTTTCTTGGAGCTGCTCCTCCTCCCGTCGTCCGAACTGTCCGATTCGGAACTGTTGCCGCGTTTTTTCTTCTTTCCTTTGTTTTTGCTTTTGCTACGACGGTGGCTACTCGCGCTGCTCGAACTACGCGACGGCCTTAGACAGTCAACAGCGGACGCCGATCGACGCAAACTACTTTTCGGGCGAGATTCTCCGTTGACGCTCCTCGTGTCGTCGTCTTTGGCTTTCCCCGCCTCCTCTTCCGAATCTTCCAAGCTTCGCCTCTTGAATTTTATCGGTTTGAAACTCAAAACTTCATTGATCGCCTTTTCCAAATCGGGATCCAGGTAGTTCCGATGGCTCACCGGTTTAATATCCGCGAGCTCGCTGGGATTTTCAAGCGTTGACGATCTTCCCTGAGGCGGCGGCATCGAGACACTTCGCCCGCTCGAAGACAACGGACTGAAACTCGACCTTTCTGTATACGCCACGCTCTTTCCGTCATCAAAATCGACGTCGAACTCGCTCAACCTGCAACTGCGACCTAAAGAATCGGCGCGACTAACGCTGCCGGGGCTTCGAACTAAAGACCTCCTGCTAAAACAAGGGCTGGTTCTACTTTCGTCCAGCCTCGACGCGCTTTTCCGACGCCCCAACGGACTCGCCAAACCTAAGCTGATCGTCGATTTCGCGTCGTCGTCGGGGCTGAAACCCAATCGCGTCGACATCCGGCTCGGCGCGTTGTACGAAACCATCGACTCTTTATCGAAATCGCCCCATCTGCTGTCCATGCCTTTCCTCGCGCGACTGTTGGCTTCGGAATACGCGTGGGAGATGACGGACTCCGTGTCGTCCGCCGCTTGGGTCTTCCTCCTCGAGCTAACGGAATAGCAGTCGTCGTCGAGATCTAAACTTTTGGCTTTGGATTTGTACGAAACCGCGTCATCGTCGGCGTTTTCCTTAAGCGCGGTGAATAACGCGTCGCCTTTCGAATCCACGTTGGCGCGTTTTCGGTAGCTCAGCGAACTCATGACCGAAACCGAGCGAGGAAGCGGCGTTTCGGCGTCCTTGCCTTCCTTGTTGGCCTCTTTCCAGTCTTTAGCCTCTTTCCGTTCTTTACAGTCTACATTAGCAGCGAATCTAGAGAGAGGAGAAAGTAGGAAAAACACAAAGGATGAAGAAAATGGAGAGAAAAATTAAAAAAGGGAAAATGAAAGGAGGGAGGAATGGGGCAAGTGAGAGTAATAAACATGAAAACCATTGAAATTAAAGACAGAAAAAATCTAAATTAAAGATAAAAACAGACAAATAATGAAACAAGGGTGGATGATTTAAAAAAACATGAAAAGAACATAAGAATAGAAAGCGGAAAGAAAGTTTGACTTGACTGTTTTTATACCAGATGCCCTTCCTCGTGAACGGACGATGTACCCGATTCCCCTGATTGATTAAATCTGCACCGATTAGTCCTGCTTTGAAATTAAATAAGAGGTAAATATGAAGCTGTTGAGCCGTCGTCCATTTCTTCGTCTTCATGGGGATGTTATCGGAACGCCTGGAATGTTACGTACTATGGCATTACACGTAACCGTCTCGCATTTGTTCGAATGTATGTAAGATTTTGTACGGTTGAAAAAAAATTACTCTAAAACTATCTATCTAAAAGGCCACGTTCAGACTGCAGGGTTTAATGTGCAATTCAGATTTTTTTTGTGAAATCCGATGTTTTTGCGAGGTCGTTCACATTTCCAATTAAATGTGACTTGTATGTGACTCCAGTGTGAACGTTTAACGGCCCGAAAGTGTCCCACATGTGACACTGGAGACACGACGACGTCAACCGCAGCGAGCGTCTCTGTGTTTACGGAAGTTGTCCAAACATGGACGCAGCATCGAGCACCTGGAGATTTTAAAGTTCATGTTCAAGCCAGAACATGTACAGATTATTTGTTTCAAGGAGGAGATTGAGAAGAAGGAGGACGAGGTTTTTTGGAAAGTGGCGTTTTGTGGGACAGCGGCACGAATGTCCAAAAAAAGGAACATCGTAGACAAGAGTGGAGGGACTGATCTGTGCTTCACTGCTTCACTCACACGGAGTTCAGACTTTTCAGAATTTTCGTCTGACGAGAAGAAGGTTTGTGTACATTTGTGACGGCCGTTTCCTGTTTTCGTGACTTCCGTGACTGAGATGCCGGACTGAACCAGGACCAAACCAGGACCGGGACTGAGACCAGGACTTAGACCAGAATCAGACCAGAACTGAGACCAGAATTGAGACCGGGACCAGAATTGAGACCGGGACCAGACCAGGACCAGATCGTGAGTGAAACTGGAACAAGACCGGGACCAGACCAGAACTGGGACCAGTATCCTGAGACCGGGACCAGACCAGAAATGAGACCAGGATTGAGACTGGGACTAGTCCTGTTTTAGTCCTGGTTCAGTCCTGATTTAGTCCTGGTTTAGTTCTGATTCAGTCCTGGTTTAGTCCTGATTCAGTCCTGGTTTAGTCCTGATTCAGTCCTGGTTCAGTCCTGGTTCAGTCCTGGTTCAGTCCTGGTTCAGTCCTGATTCAGTCCTGGTTCAGTCCTGATTCAGTCCTGGTTCAGTCCTGGTTTAGTCCTGGTTCAGTCCTGATTCAGTCCTGGTTTAGTTCTGGTTCAGTCCTGGTTTAGTTTTCTGATTCAGTCCTGGTTTAGTCCTGATTCAGTCCTGGTTCAGTCCTGGTTCAGTCCTGGTTCAGTCCTGGTTCAGTCCTGATTCAGTCCTGGTTCAGTCCTGATTCAGTCCTGGTTCAGTCCTGGTTTAGTCCTGATTTCAGTCCTGGTTCAGTCCTGGTTTTAGTCCTGATTCAGTCCTGGTTCAGTCCTGGTTCAGTCCTGGTTCAGTCCTGGTTCAGTCCTGGTTCAGTCCTGATTCAGTCCTGGTTCAGTCCTGGTTCAGTCCTGGTTCAGTCCTGGTTCAGTCCTGGTTTAGTCAGTCCTGGTTTTAGTCTGATTCAGTCCTGGTTTCAGTC